TAGCTACATCTACTAGCACATTTATTTACATCTACTAGCATATTTAGTTACATCTACTAGCACATTTAGCTACATCTACTAGCACATTTAGCTACATCTACTAGCACATTTCGCTACTTCATTGACTCGGTTCTTCTGACGGTGAAGTGATGAACAACCTGAAATGCTCTGAGGTGTATCAGTATCTACACAGTAATAAGGTCGGTGGTGTTTTGTTAAAAGAGGTGGGACACAATCTTATTGACCTCAAATCAGACACCGAGCCCAGTCAAAGACTTAAAGTCCTCCATCACTGAGCTTGGATTAGTTACAGAGAAAATCATAAAACTGAAGATGAACAAATTCTATAAATCTGCGTCCTCCATACACCTGAAATCATACCTGATGCTCCCGTCACTGTTTTCAATCCTTCTGAGGCTCCAGAGTCTCTTCTGTGGTGGTTTATTGTAGTCCAGACACAAAGTAGGATGCAGGTTTTCCTCCGTCGGCCGTTTGTCAACAAAGTGAAATGAGCTCACGTACAGAGTTTTGGGTGGTCTCTTCAAGTTCAGATTCTTCAGCCACATTCTTCTTAATTCCTCATCTGTAGGTAGGAGATGGAAACTATACCTCTTTTCACAGGAACACTATTTTATTATTTTGGGTCCATGTTCAAAACTGTTGTTGTAGCCACTGATTTAGTTTGGTCTGGTTGTTCTGCAGCTGTGAACACAACAGGTACCTGAACGCAGCACGGCTATTTTAGTAAACTTTATGGTTGTTAAATAAAGTTAAACAAAACAAAAACAGTTTTATCTGCTGAACTGAATGTGAATTACTTTCAAATAAACCACGGTCCGTGCTCTGCTACCACAATGCTTAGTGCTACTTCCTGTCTGACAGGAAGTTGTTCCTTAATCATTTATACAGCAGAGCCCCCAGGAATAAGATGCATAGAGGTTCATACAAATGTTGTTTGAAAACACTATATTCAGTTTAGTTTCACATGGGACTGGAGTTTACATTGAATCTGTGGTTATTTGCCTGGGTAAATAGGAGCTGCAGCAGCTAGCTGCAGCTAATAGCTAAAAAGCAGATTTGCTTGTGCATAAATAAAAATGAGTTGAGCTCCAGGCCAGAACCAATGAGGGGGCAGTGTTTTGCAGGTGACTGTGATTCAGTCGAGGCAGTTGTTGTAAAAAGTTGAATCTTTTATTGAGCAGAGTTGATCAAATGGTCACCAGTTTGTCAACTTATGCATAAAGTCCTTGAACAAACACGAAACATTTGAGCTTGTGTTAAATCGTTTCATATGGACGATCCCAACAGGTGGTTTAAACTGGAGGTCATCAACTCGTTTTGGAGGAATCCTTGATTTTTTTTGTCTCAGACAGTGTCAACACTTTGAGTCGTCTGCAGAACAACCTGTTAATCTCTCGCCTGCTCCCACTGGCGATGCAACGTCTGCAGCTTCAAATAAAGCTTGTTAATATTTGTCAGGCGTGGTTGCTGGCTTAGCCTAATCCACTTGAAGGTGGCTGGCTCATGAGAAGGCTGCTGCACACAGCCGCCCCTCCCTGCAGCGCTGCTACTGACTGATGGGTGAAGTCATCAGAAATGATCACCTGCTGCTTGTTTCTCAGGTGGGATCCAGAGTCTAACCGCTGGTCCTTCGTTTGCCCCATGTCGGTGGCTCGGCTGGGAGCCGGCGTGGCAGCGTGTCGGGGGGCTCTGTATGTGGTGGGGGGATACGACGGACAGAATCGCTGGAACACGGTGGAGAAATACCACCCTGACACCAACAGTTGGCAACAACTAGCTCCCATGAACACGATTCGCAGCGGACTGGGTGAGTGGGCTCCGTCTGAGCGCCAGATGTAGACAGATGTGTCCATGTGGAGGTTTTCACTCCTGCGCTCGCACGTCATCCATCACCAGACGATGAGTTACTGTGCCTCACAGTGAAAGCAAAGCTTTGTTGTGCTTTCTTTGTAGGGTTGGCATGCTTGAACCCTTACCTGTACGCCATCGGAGGCTACGACGGGCAGAGCCAGCTGTGCACCGTGGAACGGTACAACATCGCCAAAAACATCTGGGAGCCCAGAGCCTCCATGCAGCACTGCCGCAGCGCGCACGGAGTCACGGTCCATCAAGGACGCATCTTTGTCTTCGGTTAGTTCACTTTTAATTGTTCATAATATTCTGGCAGGATGACCGGAGGAATGATTGTAGTCTGAGATGATGAAGCATCGAAGAGAAACCGACGTTTAAAATGAGTTCTAAACATGAAGCACAACTTGCAAACTGCTCAACTGAAACCTTTAACGCTCGTCTTAAGGGCGTTATCATTTTGTTCCTATATAGATGATTTTATAATGTCCGGGAGGTATCTTAAAGTCATCATGTTTACATAACTCGTTATTATTTTAGCTACTAGTAAACATTTTAAAAAGCCATTCTTTTTTACCACAATGTCTGCTGCTGTTGTGTGAACGGTTGCGAAGCGTTCACTCTGTTGTGATCCATTTTTCTTCTGTACGTTTTTCAGCATCTTTCTCGTTCCATAATTTTTGTGCCATTTCAACAAATCCTAAATCAAAACGTTCAGCTCTTTCAGGACAATCCTGCTATGACTTTTGTTTCTCGTGCATTTTTAGCTTTTTGAAATATTTAGCCTTTTCTCACACTTTTTCCCTCATAGAAAATGAATTGAGCTCATTTTACATCCTTCAAATCTTTAGATCTGTTTACAACATTTCACTGCTCCTTTCACATTTTCTTCCTGTTCAGCTTCTTTCAGCTTCCTTGTGCAAATTTAAACATTTTTTCAGCTACTTTCAGCTGTTTTGTGCTCCTTTCAGATGCTTTCTGCTAACTACAACATTTTTGTTCTTCTTTTTCTTTCTACTAATTTCAGCTTGTTATGCTCCTTTTGGCTTATTTATGTAACATTCAGCTTTTGCTGCTATTTCAGCTACTATTTTGCTGTTTTTATGCTAATGTTAACTTTTTTGGCTAATCCCACATTTTAGCATTCATTTAAACTTTTCAGCCGAATTCAGAAAAAAAAAAGTGCTCTTTCCACGTGCTTCTTCTAATTTAAGCTTCTCTCTGCTATTTTAGCTACTTTTCAGCTATTTTTTGATAATTTCAGCTTTTTTCAGATAAAATCCATTCATTGTGCTCATTTCTGCTTCTTTCAGAATAAAACGTGTTCTTTTTGCTTTCTCCTGCTAATTTAAGCTTGTTTTGTATTTTCAGCTACAGTACCTATTTAGCTTTTTTTTTATAATTTCGGCTGTTTTCTGATAAATTCAAGTTTTTTGTGGTAATTTCTGCTACTGTCAGCCTAATTAATCTCTTTATGCTAATTTCAGCTTGTTATGCTCCTTTCATCTTATTCATGCTACTTTAAGTTACTTCAGCTTAAAAATCTTAGCTTTTTCAGCTAACTCCACATTTTTAACTCATTTCAGCTCTTTCTACTTCCTTCTGGTAGTTTTTTCTGCCTTTCAGCTACTTTTCAGCCATTTTTTTGTTGCTAATTTCAGCTTTTTTTTAGCTACTTTCTTAATTTTTCTGCTAATTTCTGTATATTTTAGCCTAATTCAGCAAATATGTGTTCTTTATGCTTTCTTCTGCTAATTTAGGATTGTTCTTCCATTTTAGCTACATTTCAGCATGTTTTTTTAGCTAATTTCAGCGGTTTCTCGGCAAGTTCTTCTTCAAGCTGATTCACGTGGTTCAACTGCTGAAGTTTCATAAAACAGAATAAATGTGGTTCATGAAGCAGATTATGTGTTTGTGTCCAGGAGGTTACAACCAGCACGGCTTCCTGTCCAGCGTCGAGTGTTACTGTCCAGACAGAAACGAATGGATGTACGTCACAGACATGCCTGTTGGACTCAGCGGCATGGGTGTCACGGTTACCATGGAGCCGTGTCCCGGCTGCATGGCGGAACAAGACGAGGATGACGAGGACATATCCAAATAGGAGGAGGTCCTGATTAATGGAGGACTTGTTGCTAGTCAGCAGAATAGTTTTATTTCCGTCCTCAAATCAAAAACTTATGAACCCGTTCCCTCAGGTATTTCATTGATATTGCACATTGGGGAAAAAGCTATTTATGTCTTGTGTTTAGAGAAGGACATTGTGTATTTATATCTATTTTTGTCAGCATGATCATGCACAAACTGCCCGACTGAAACTTTTATTTTCCAGATAATTTTTTTATAAACGAGAAATAAAAGATAAAAAAAAAACAAATAGAGCATTGAGCTTGGTGAAGACTCTGCTCACTCAGTGCTTTTTTGTTAAATATTGTATATTTTGACATGTTTTCTGTCTACTTGGTGCCCAGATTTTTTGTAAAATTTATGTAAAAAATCAGCCTTGAATGTCCTTTTTTCTATTTCTTGCCTATTTTAAATTCCTACACTTTTAGTTTACATTCCTCGTCCTGATTTTGTCCGTTCAAGCTGCTATTTTATGAATGTCCCCTAGTTTGTGTGTGCAACCACTATATATTTCATGTTAATAAAATTATATATATATATAGATATGTATGTGTGTGTGTATATATACATACGCACACACAATATTAAAGGCTTTACTTTCATTGTGTGTGTGTAGCGTTGCAGATTTATTTAAATGTTTTACCAAACTTCTGTTCTTAGTAATTAGACTCACTGTACCAAATGTCACTCTGTGTCCACTAGATGGTGGAAGAAGTCTGCAAATGGGGACAAACTGGGCCATAACTGGGTTCACATTGTGACACACAATAGCAGACTTGAAACCCCCCTCCCCACACACACACCACCACCACCACCCAAAAAAAGAGTGTAACCATGTGTGCATGACTTTCAACTGCATCTTGTTTGTGTATGAGCTCTTTGTCAGGGTTTGTTAGTTGAAGCTCACAGAATCTGTTCGTTCTAAGCCGTCTCTTAAGAAAAGGTAAACCAGTGGACTGAGGTCAGAGTTAGTCATCGACCACGCACGTCACTGTTTACCTCTTCCTCTGCTGCTCCCTCTCCATGTCTCACCTGCAGTTGCCCAGCAGGCCGAGCAGAAGGCCCAGAACAGAGCTGTTCTTGCAGAACAAACGGGAGCAGAAAGAACATTCTTGTTCTCCTGTTGGATCCTGCAATACCAGCAACCTGTTGGGCTGTAGCTGGACAAGACCCAGCCTGGCTCTGGTTGGGTCCGGGCCCCCGGAGAAGAAAGTAGAGGGCCTCTTACTCACTACATGCAGCCCCACGTCAAGAGCAAGTGACTCACATGGCGAGCGCATGACGCAGGCGCCTCACGAACGTGCACACGGTTGCACAAACACGTTTGTTCTTTCTCCGCCACACACCAAGCACAGTCGCATGCGCGCGCCGCACTTGTGCACAAACAAAGCTGGCTGCCTCCTATTCACGGGCTGTGGAAGCAGATTTGCCTCAATGTGTTCATTGTCTCACAAGGGGAGGGGGACGAGGAAGACGAGATGCGGAGCTGGATTGGGGGGGGGGGGTACTCAGTGTTGCACAGTGAGAAATAAAACTTGATACAAGTTTGAAACATACAGTCATTAAATATGAGCACTAAAGGCAGGAATCCTCATGGTTTGCAGATGACATTATAATCTGCAGTGATAACAGGTGGAAGAGAACTTGGAGAGGTGGAGGTATGAACTTGAAAGAAGGAATGAAAGTCAGTCGTAGTAAGACAGAGTGCATGTGTGTGAATGAGAGGGAGGAGGTGGAACAGTGAGGCTACAAGGAGCAGAGGTCACAAACTGCAGGACTTCAAGGACTTGGGGTCCACTGTCCAGGAAAATGGTGAATGTGGTGAAGAAGAGAGTCCAGGCAGGATGGAGTGGATGGAGAAAAGTTTCAGAAGTGATTTGTGACTAAAGGGTGTCAGCAAAGGTCAAAGGAAAAGTTTACAAGACAGTGGTGAGACCAGCTATGTTGTATGATCTAGAGACCGAGACATGGACAGAAAGACAGGAGAAATAAAGATGTTGAGGTTCTCAGGAGTGACCGGATGGATAAGATTAAGAATGAGATCATCAGAGATGCAGCACAGGTTGAACAACTGGGAGATAAAGTTAGAGACCAGACTGAGATGGTTTGGACATGTCATGAGGAGGGACAGTGGGTATACTGGTAGAAGGATGTTAGAAATGCAGCTGCCAGGAAAAAGACAAAGAGGAGATTTATGGATGCAACTGGAGAGGACAGAGAGACGGAGGACGACTCACTGTGGAGACCCTGAAAAGGGGAAAGAAGAAGAACGCATGTCTTGAAGTAATGTTCATCACCCGCCTCTTAAAATCATCTCATGCTGAGAAATGACAAGAAGCTTTTATTAAAACGTGTAAATAGCATCTTTGCTAAGACTCGGCTAACACCGTATTAAACTTTAGCTCAGTATCTTTAAAACTGACTGAGGTATATTCATTTTTCTGTTGGCTTATGTTAACTGTGGCAACCATCTTGAACTGGACTAGCTCCAAAAGGTGATCAGCTGTGGGTGTACAACCACTCATTCACTTCCAGTAAGTTTCAATAACATTTGTTCAGTCGTTCACAAGATATTTTGCTAACAGACGAAAAGTATTGTAACAACGCTAACGTTTTCAAGCAAAGATCTTGCACAATATGTAGCGCTCAGAGTACGTGTTATGAATTACTCTCAGCTACGACGTTTAGCTAAATAGCTGTAAGATCAGCTGTTATCATCGATGTGTTTCTTAGATCAGTTGGCTGTGGCGGCCATCTTGTATTGGGTTGACTCCAGAAGTTAACCAGTAGATGCACATCCACGCATTATTTTAATGAACGTTTCATTTAAATCCATCCAGTGGTTCATGAGATATTTTGTTAACAGACACACAAACACAGGAAAAACTTTGTCTGCCTGGCAAGCGATAACTGCAGAATGTTCCAGTTAAGAAGTACTGTACACAAAATCTTTGAACTGCTGCAAAATAAAACATTTTTTTATGAAGCTTGATTCAGTTCTGCACTTAAAGGAAACAAGAAGTGTCGGACTGTTCCATTATTAGAGTTTAAGGTTTATTTAGATCCACACGCAGCACGAGCTCGAACCAAAGCTCTGCAGGGCCTGAAGAGTTGGGGGGGCCTTCAACGCCACTGGGCCCTACGGCCACACGTGTGCAGCTGTGACCTTGGGGAGCGATGACCTCATCAACATCCCTGCCTGCACAGCTAATCTGTTTTATTCTGAAGGATGCTCCGCACCGGAGCCACTCGTGAAGGTGACATTGGTGGCGTGGAACCACGCCTCAACGAGGCGCAGGCGCCGAAGCAGGGGTTAGAAGTGTAGAGCTGTCCATGTTTACGAGGACCCTGACACGGACAAGAAGCCTCTGTGAAAGTTCTGCACGATATGTAACCAGATGTTTTGTATTAGATCCTGCAGCAGGTGGTTATGGGATGTCGTTTGTAAAGTTACACAGTCAAATATTAACATCAATATTTTGGTTTATAAGAAAAAAAAATTTTAATTCAAAGTCATATTTTCACCATGTCATTCATACATTTATAAATGTCATAGTTCCAAACTAAAAGTTTGATTTACAAGCTAAAATATTTGACTTGCAAGTTAAATATTTTGTTAGCGCACTAAATATTTTAGGTGTAAATTAAATATTTAAGTTCCGAGCTAAATATTTATTTTCAAAACTAAACATGTAATTTCCAAACTAAATATTTATTGTCCAAGCTAAATGTTGAATTTCCAAACAAAACAATTAATTTCTAAACATTTTTAATTTGCTAACTAAATATTTAGCTTGAACCTAAATATTTATTTTCAAAGCTAAACAGTTAATTTCCAAAATAAATATTTAATTTGCTAACTAAATACTTAACTTGCAAGCTAACTATTTAGTTTGTAAGCTGAATATTTAGTTTCACACTAAATATTTAGTTATAAACTAAATGTTTATATCCAAGCTAAATGTTAAATTTACAAACTAAAATTTAACTTGTAAGTAAAATATTTAGTTAGCAAATAAAATTTTTATTTTGGAAATTAACTGAACCGTTTAGCTTTGAAAATAAATATTTGTTCAAGCTAAATATTTCATTAGCAAATTAAAAATGTTTAGCTTAGAAATTAATTGTTTTGTTTGGAAATTCATTATTTAGCTTGGACAATAAATATTTAGTTTGGAAATTAAATGTTTAGTTTTGAAAATAAATATTTAGCTTGGAACTCAAATATTTAATTTACACCTAAAATATGTAGTGCGCTAACAAAATATTTAACTTGCAAGTCAAATATTTAGTTTGTAAATTAAACATTTATCTTGCGCATAAACATTTAGTTTGTAAACTAAATATTTAGTGTGGAGCTAAATACTTAACTTGCTAACTAAATATTTAACTTGCAAGTTAAGTATTTAGTTTGTAAGCTAAATATTTAGCTTGTAAATTAAATATTTAGTTTGGAACTGTGACATTCATCAATGTATGAATGACATGGTGAAAAATATGATTTCTTATGAAAGGCTAAATAAACCAAAATATTGCTGTTAATTTGTGACTGTGTAACTTTAAAAACAACACATAGGTGTTTCAGCTGCTTTGTTACTCTTAAGAAAGTTCATTTAATTGATCAGTCAAGTTCGGTCATTTTTGAAGTGACGTCCTGTCAAATCAATAGTTAGCGTGAGACATGACATGAGTCATAGAACACAAAGTCAGAAGAAAAGGACAGACATCTTTGTCCAGGCTAGGCTAATGGCTAGCCAAACAATGGCTCATTGTTTACATGCTTTACGCTCAGCACACACGTTCACGTAATGGCGCAAACATTATTCACTTGACAAAAAAAAAAAACAGTGACAAACTAAACAATGTCATGCAAAAGTGTTAAGTTTTAATATTAGCAACTGTAGCATTAGGCCTGTCATGGACTTGCAACCTGTCCAGGGTGTCCCCCGTCTCTCGCACAGTGATTGCTGGACATGGGCACCAGCGACCCCCGTGACCCAAAATGGAATAAACGGGTAAAGATAATGGATGGATGGTATGGTACGGCACGGTATGGTATGGTATGTCATGGTATGGTATGGTATGGTATGGTATGGTATGGATGGTATGGTATGGTATGGTACGGTATGGTATGGTATGTCATGGTATGGTATGGTATGGTATGTCATGGTATGGTATGGTATGGTAT